TTAGTACATAATCTACCTTTTCATGATGACTAAATCTAGAGGTGCATGGCCTATTTCATTGATCTACCTCTTTAAAAACAGGAAGATGTTTTTAAAAAAACATTTTTAAAAAAATTCTGACAATTATTTGTTAACAGCCACCTAGATTATGCTTAATCTACAGTGGAAGCAAGGACAAGTTAACACCACAGCTTTGCGGTTAATAACATGTGAGTTTTCCACAACTAACATTCTAAACTGCTGTCTCTTATGACCTGAGGAGAGCTCTCCTCTCTTGCTTCCCCAGTGTAAAATCATGAGAAACTCCAGAAAAACAGCAACGTTATTCTGATAAGAGGTTGACATGAATCAGAATAGGACCCTACATCCCAAGTCCTCAACACTTTCCTCCAAGTGCCTTCATGCATTAGCTCCAGCTGTCATCAATATTCATTCTTACCCTGATGACCACTGCAAACTGAACACTCCTTCCTCACCACATCTAATTACAAACAAATGTGCTCACAAACTCAGCAAATCATGTCTAAAACCTGAGAATAAGCAGGAAGCTCTACCAAGTAGCTCCACTATAAACGTGTAAAAGAGTCATAGTCCTATGGCGGAATGTGTATTCTGATGCTGATCTGCCCAAATGCCTCCTGCTAAGAGAGGTAATTTATCTGTTTCTGGCCTTTTAGCTCTGAGCACCCCCATGGGACTCATGCCAAGGACATCAGCAGTACAACACAGACACTAACCTGATCAAAAATGTAGTGAAAATAACTTACTTGGCATTAAGCAAAGTGGGAACAATCACTAGGACTGTCACAGCTTTCACTCTGATACGGCTATGGTCATCCTGCAAGATCTGCCCTTGCATACAGGAAATCATTTCACAGCTAATGTGAAAAGTTAAGCTTGTACAGCTTTACACTGTAAGCTTTCTGTGCTGATCTGAACCAGCATCAAGGATGCTCCTAGTTTTCTTAACAATCTCCAGAACCATCTACTGTGCTTTTTCAGTATTCTGGTTTGAAAATGTATGTTTTTAAAAAGTTGCTTTCTTCCAAGTAGATGTCTAGGACTCTGTGTGTCTGTGCTTTTCCCCTCCCCCCACCATCATAAGGCACCTCAGCAAACTTTTCTTCTACACTACCTAGGAAGCAGTATCACAACCAGACAGCAAACAGTTCCATAATATTGTTATAAAACCTATTGCATAATTGCTTACTATCTTAAAAGCTCTATAGTTATTTTTAAAAAATATCTCACACAACACATTGTGTACTTCAGAACAAAGGCAATTATGCTGCATTAAACCTGGAAGGCTAAGAATCTATGGAATCAATAATTACCAATGGCAAATCCATTTTCATAATCGTAATTATATTCCAAGCAATGTTTCTGTGTCTGATCTTCCAATCTGCAGTCAATATCATCAACATCATTACAGAATGATGGGACCTTCCAACATAAAGAAGAATAACATTAAAAAATAAAACCACATAGCCCCCCTCCCTTGAATGATAAAAACTTCTAGTTACAATGTAAAGCACTGCCAGTGACACTAGATTTCCCCTTTGATGTCTCTTATAACCCTGGCAAGGTCTGCTGAAAGAGCTATGTTATTGATTAAGCTGGGAAACAAGAGGGCAACTTCTAGGGATACAAGCTCTTTGTTATAGATGATCTTTTTTCATTCAGTTACCAACTCTTGCATGCGAAATCCCAAAATATAGAAATAAGTTCAGGCTTGTTTCTCCTCCCTGTCAAAGATGACAGGAGAGCTCACACAGTTCAAAACATCTGTGCTGTTTTCAGCTATGTAACTTGTAATTCTGTTAGGTTTAAAACAATGCTGTCACTTTATTTCTAGCTTTTAAACCTTATTTCTTCATATCCATCTCTCCCTACCCATGGAAAAGGCCTCATGCATTCCACCGAGAGACCTCAGAGGACAGGGAAAATCATCTGAGAACGACTGAAACCTTTCTGGTATTGATTTCTTCTCTCTGCAAAAGCAGTAGAGATTAGATAAGAGTAGATGAATGGATGATTTTTTATAAAATCAGTATTTCTTGCTTTTTCTAGAAAGGTTTCAACCAAGCTGGACTCTAGGTCATGTGTTTTGGAATTGCTTCGCTTTTTCTGAATCAATTTTCATTGGAAAGATCGTTATTGCTGATTCCTCTTCCTTTTTCAGATCTCTGCTAGAATTTCAAATTCTTGGGAATAGGAATAGGCATATTCAAAACAGCCTTTTTGTCTTTTTTTCCCAAATTTTTGCATTTTGATGTAACTGTTTGGGCAGATCACTAAGCATTTTTTCCTTATTATGTTTTGCTTGCTGATAGTAATGGTCTAAGCACTGGAACTTGGTGGTAACTGGCTCTTAGGGGAAAGGAACAGAAACAAAACAAGCCAGGATTTCTCTACTGGAAGAGAACAAACTTGAAGCAAGGCAAGAGAGTAATGGAAATTTAGTTCCAAGTATCAGAGGTTGCCTGAAGTGTTACACAAACATTCAGCCATTTGACAAGGGCTACTGACGTATATTCCAAAGTTGCATGAGCTGGTTCATTAGCTGTGTATGCTAATAATGCTTTCTAGTTAGTAGAGAAGCTTGTAGCATATGGGTCTTGTCATGTAAAAAAATCTGTAAATGCCCAGTGTTCTCCTCTGGTGCAATGCTATCACTCTAGGCCTGGACATTCACTCCTGAGACCACAACTCAAAGTCCTGCTGCTTCTGCTTTGCAGCTGAGGACAGACTTGTGGATTACGAGGGGAGACTGTGATACTGAAGTGGAAAGCAAGAGAGAAGGAACAGAGAAGGAGAAGGAACATGCTACCCCTTCAAATTCAGTGCATGCCATTCTCAATGATAAGTGTGAGAACTCAGAAACTCAAGAAACCTAAGCAAATTATTTAAATCACTACTACCGGATTTAAGTGCCTGGACTTAAGCACCAAATGTGGAATTTATCTATTTGTACACACGTATACTAATTTATATTACACGGATATATGTTATACATATTCTATATAAAATAAACATATTTTATAATCACATCCAACTTTCAAAAACAACATTGAGGTTAGCAAACAATTGACAGGTTTTCAAAACTGCACACGTTCTCATGGGAAGCCTACTGAAAATCCATGAGTCCCAGGTCCCTAAATTACTTTGGCACTTCTATAAATTCTGTCCTATATAACTCCACATTGAAGACCAAATTGAATTACACTAAAATGTCAGTCAATCATCTTTATTTTTGAAGGAGACTTGTCATCTTCTGAAAAAGCACAGATTTCATTTATGGATTTCTGTTGTATTTTACTTATATGAAATTACTTAGCTGGGAAAAGTAACAATGATGTCGTATGTTTTTTATAAAGTATGTAAAAGGAAGGAGTATTTACTAACCTACCATTTTACCAAGCGCGCTCTGGAATGCATCAGTAAAACTATTTAGAAGATTGTTGTCATCACATCGTGTTGCTTTGTAGAGCATCTCAAAGGATTTGAACCCATGGTTTGCGAAACGATTTACTGAAAAATGTTGGAGAAATAAATTTTCACTGGTCAGTGCATGGCTTTCAGAGCTAAAAGCAAGATTATTCAGGCTAAAACTGGAATACACTAAGCTAAGAAGCACTGTCTTTAAATCAGCAACCTAAATTCCCAGTGTTGTATCCACGAAAAAGGATCACTCATACCTCAGCCAATGCAGTTGAATGTCACCCTCTGGCAGGCATAAAATTTATTAGGAAAGTTAACAATCAAAAATAAGGTTTGCCATTTGTCTATTTCAGCATTTTCTTAATGGAAGAAGCCTGTGAGCTGTCAACTAAACGCCATACTTACTTTTTACTGAGAGAGAAGCAATAAGTATCAGAAGTCTTATTACTAATACTGCTAGGCTAAATATGAAAAAATCTCATCCAGAATTTAAGCAAATAAAATTTCCTAAGTGTCCAAGTGACGGATTTTGAATTGATAGATAGCTCTGAAACATAATTCTCATTTGCTCATAGCTGAAACGCTGCTCTTGTCTCTTGTTTGCCGAAAACAAGAAACCCACTCTGATGGAAGTGGATGCAACATGGTGACAAGACTAGCTTCATATGTAGCTCTAATACATTTATTATTACAATGTCCCAAAGCTGGGAAATTCCACAGATGAAGTTTTGCATGTATCTATCTCAAAGAAAAAAAATAAACACTTCTGATTTGGAGATAATTAGATATGTAAGTACAGCATGCACTGTGCATTTGGATCAGTAAGTTGAAAATACTGTTGAAATTCCTATCGAAAATACACTGTTAGTGTTGGTAAATAACCTGTTTCAAATACCAATCCAAAATAATGACAGATCTTGACTACTTTGCCATTTTTGCTATTTTGCGATTCCCAGGATTCATATTCACTGCTATTTTTGTTTTAGACAAAAATTTTAGCTGTTTTAGACAGCTTATGAAAGAACACATTCAGAGATTTCCAGGCATCCTTTTACAATATTTGTAACAATTTGGAGACGGGACAGAGAAGATTCGTCATCATTAAACAGAAGTCATAATTTCTGAAATATTTTCGTTTACCTCCCCATTAAACACAGTATTTGACGAGTTGCACGTTCATGTTAGCAATGGTAAGACTTACAAGAGCAGCCAGGCCACTCTGGAGAATAAGGTGGCTTCCAGACACCATCCTCATATGCACAATAGTAGTTTTCACTTGATCCTTCTGAAAAGCTATAACCCTCTGCACAGTGCAATGTGCAATTAACTCCTGCTTCATCTGATGTGCATGTAAAATCACCATTTACAGGCTCAAAGGAGATTTCACAGGGAGAACCTATGAAGAATACAAAGATTTATGTCGTGATGAATGCAGTGAAGTAAGTAAGCACACCAGAAAACAGCACTGATAGGATTTCCTCAAGTACTTAGTATCAACCTGACCTTGCCTCTCCTCAAGTCTGTGGAAGTATTACTTGTTACTTTCGTAAAGGCAGGATCAGGCTACTGCTAAATTATTCTCAAACTCTGCCCCTGGAATTTGAAATCCAGAAAGGTGAAGACTTAAAAAAATTTGTGATAAATAAGAGAAATTTAAAAAAAACAGAAATGCAAGACTCAAACCCTTTTGTACTTCTTCTTCAAAGGTGCATGCTCAAGCATGTACTTACTAAAATAATACAAAACATTAATCTAAATTTTTACATGAACTTTCATACAACGAATTCTAGCAAACTATATTACATCTTGAATTCTAAAACTAAACATTATCCTTTCTGCATTATGGCAACAACACACAGACTTGTCAGAACCATCTCAGGAGGGACTAACTGTAGGACCTCAGTTATGATTTATTTTACAGGTCATTTGTGAAGGAGACTGTGAATGTCTGAAAACATTATGTCACAAACACTGAAACACAAAAAGTCTGAGGTGGTGTAGAACTTGAGATAATGACAATCCTAAGCACTGGCTTGCTCTTCCTAAGATTTACAGCAAATCAGAAACGAGCATATCCATTCGTAACTGACCTTTTCTAAAATCTATAACCAAAATTCCAGCCTGCCTGATTTTAAATTCTCTCTTCACTAACAGATTTTTTTATACAGATGTCCAATTGAGACACAAGCATTAGAGAGCAGAGATGAAGCAGAATTTTCATCCTTAATACTTTATCTGCCAAATTACTGTTTGGCCTTTAAAGAAGAAAGAGAACTGTGGGGGAAAGGTGCTTACACAATAAACACAAACGCACCAGTATATCTATAGGTACAGACAACTTCTAAAATCTCAAGAGTGTTCTAGTATCTGCGACAATATTTGTAGCTGATTACAGAAATATTTCCGTAATTTTTTCCTTTGTAACTACAGACTTGAAGTAAGACTTCAGTAATTCAATTTGCACAGTATCTGTCACTGAGAAAAAAAACAGGTGCATTATCATAAGTTTTACTGCTTAATGAATCACAATTTCAGTGCTTTTACATCTCATTTGAATTTACAGGACCAAATTCACTGCTGTGCTGCTTCAGTCTTAGAAAATTCATTCATTGGTATTAACGAATATCCTGACTGCCCTCAAGTTACTCCAATATAAAATGATAATAACTAAAAGAAAAGTGGAGGCTAAATGAAAAAGTGGAGTAGCATTGGATCCTTTATGATATTCACTTAAAATAATACCATACACTCTTGACCAGAAGATTAAGACAACAAACCTTTGATGACAATGTGGATCTCACATGTCCTGTTATTGCCAGAGGGATCCACAGCTGTGTATTGAACTGTTGTCTCTCCTTTGGGAAAGAGATCTCCAGGTGCATGACTCCTCATGACAGTCAGTGGAGCACCTAGAAGAATTAAAAGACAACCTAAAACATCAATTAAGTAAAAAGAGGGTTGCTCACACCCAACCTTGACAAATGGAGAAGGAAATGGCAGCATGTCTTCCTCATATGTTCTTAAAAATATAAATAAGTAAAAAACCCTCAAAAATCCTAAACTCTTAAGGCATTAAGAGTGAATAGGGTGGAGTTCCCTAGCTTTCCACAGTTATGCGTATGTTTTGGGGTGCACTATCTCACCTGAATTGTCTGAAAATTGTGGTTCTTCCCATGTTGCGGGGTACTCATTCTCTACTGCTTGCATGGGTGGTGGAGATCTGCATCTGTCAATTACAGGAGGTTCTGCATCTGCAGAATTTGAAGGGATGGCATGACATTAGCTTACTGAACTGCTGCCACACTCAAATGAAATCTATACTCAGAAGAAGTCAGGTAAACAGCAATTTTAAGTTCACATAGGAAGATACAACAAAGTTAGGTGCACACTTGTAAGCTGCTGTAACTAGTAGATGCTGAAGGAATGGATGAGACTAATTCTGCTGAATTCACGGTTTCTGCACTCTGCTTTCTACAGAGCAAACCTTGTTTAACAGGACTGCTGAATAGTATAACTGTCTGACAGAATTACTTGAACAATGATTTGCATCAGCAACATGCAAGAACCTTGGAAATTTTGTTGGAGTCTTTCAAGAAGGAAAAAAAGATATATATGGTGAAGGCACTAAGTGACAACACAATAAAGCATTTAATCTACCGGTGTGAGGATAAATCTTAACATTCACAATAAACAACAGGACAACAAAAACAACCAAAACTGAACATCTAGAAGCAATGACTGCACCCTATGCAAACTGTGACCCAAGATCAGCAAAGCATTTATGGAGACGATATTACTCCTGGGCCTACACCTGCACACATAAATGCCATAGTGACTCACAGTCTCTTTCTGCACATTAGAAGGTTTAAACCATGACAGACTCTTCCCCAGTGATTTTTACCAGCACTTACCAATAACCTTGACACTGAATGTACAGCTTGCTTCATTTCCCGACTTATCAGCTGCTGTGTAAGTAATGGCAACTTCGCCAATTGGGAGAAGAAACGGTGGTATGAAAGCTGGGGTAACGTGAACTGAGACCTTTTATAGGAAAACACTTGTTATTTAAAAAACAAAGATGGTCAGTAATCATGACATTCATGTTTCAAGAAACGGCCATAAAATAGCATCCTTCAACGTTGAGCTCGCTCATTCTTCATGCAAACTTGGCAACAGAGTGCTCCGCTCCCCTTCTCTGCTCCCTTTATAGCAACAGGGATTTACTCAGTTGGGATTTGGACCCCAACCTGCTCTAGTTTACAGCACTGTGCATTAAGAAAACTCAAGACCGACTCTTGCTTGCCTCATTGCACTGAATGCACACTACGCTGCTTTGTCTGCAGTTCAGCTCTCCAACTGCAAGGGCAGCAGAGCTGGGAGAAGAATGGAGCAGACAGCTGTGAGCTCTAAGTACTTACATATCCAGTCTTAATCCGCACATGCTTATGAGTCAATAGCCCACAGATCTTTCAAAACATTCTGCCATGGCAAACAAACCTTACATTCAGAGTAAATTACATTTATGTGCTCTTTCTTATGGTTAAAACTGTCTTAAGGAACTTCTCTTTAAAAGAACTGATTTTACGTGAATAAAGCAGTTTATCTGACAACCGTGGCTGACAAACCAGCTACAACTAAGTGCTAAGGCATCTGCTTTCTACAGTTCAATGAATGACCCTGTGTCAATACAGCTACAGTACCTGACCATAGCTATGCTACAGAAAAACATGTGTGAACTTAAATCTCTTTTACTGGGATAGCTCACAGCTTCCAAGTGCAAAAAACTCCTGTGACTACAGCAAATTAAAAGCACACAGAGAGTCACTGTTCCTCTGCTGACTCATGACAAAGCATTCGGTTGCTGTAACTTGATCGTGTCTGAGCCTGTAGGGAATGTTACTCTTTATGAAATAGCTCTGGAGCAAATTTTCCTTGTAACTCCATTTCAAGACCTCTGATACCCATAGTAGCCAAAGGCTCACATCTGAACCTTGCATTGCATAGGAAAATGAGATTTTTCTTTCTCACTTGGGAGGCTGAAATGAGGTTTTACTTATCACAGTGTGCTCTTATTAGCCTTTTAGATTAATGAACTGGTTTACTTCCTTCTGAGAAGAGTTTATTAAACTTCTTCACATTCTAAGGGCTCATTTTTAAAGCAGCTGTCTCCATCTTATAAACAAGGGCACATTCTTTCTTTTGACCACATAAATTAACCATATGAGACTTTATGCACTTAAACACCATGCAGAGTGTCCTGTGAGAGCATAACCCGAACCAAGACAGAAAACGCTGAATTCTCAAGATACAAACTTTCAGCAGATTCTTCTTCTACTCCCTTTTTTTATCAGAAGAAAGAAATTCTAGTGGATCATAAATTAATTAGAAGTAGCTAGCTATAGAAAGACTGCCTCCAGTCAGATGTATAGATTTTAACTTGCCTCATCTCCAGAGTTATCTTCAGCTGTTGGTACCTGCCAGCTGATGTTAGCAGAGTTATGATGTTCCAGAGTCTCAGTCTCAATATTTTCCGGACAGTGGATCCGAGGAGCTTCAATATCTGATCCAGAAAAACTAGTTTTATATGTGGGATCATAGATATAAAAATGCTATAATGGTTAGTGCGCAACTTGTTATAACCACTGTTTTTTGTGCTGCCTGGAATATAAATGCGTGTATTTTTGCAAGCTTCCTGTCTCTGCCCCTTTTTAATTCTTGCCTACAGGCTCATACGTAAACAGTAAATTCTCCTGAGGAAGAGACTATTTTTTGCTATATTTTTGTACATCACCGAGCACAATGAGACTCTAGTTTCTACATGCGACCATAAAATAAGGAGTAAATAAGACAGAATGAATTTGTTTCTCTTACTCATTCATTCATTAAACACATATACTCATTAAGAAGAAATGTCTTCTCTATCCTTGCACTGCCCACACACAACAAATACAGATACAAACACTTTTTTTCTGATAATCTGTGACTTAAAAAAAACTATTTGTGACATGATATACTACTATGAATAAGGCAGTAGTGACTCTCCAATTCCCTGGAGCATGGTGTGGGACAAGGGCAAGATTTCTGGCACCGGCTGCCAGAACCAACTCCTGCTACAAGGTACTATGTAGGACAAATGGAGTCTTCTTGTGACACACGTGACAATGCTGGGTGGTTTTAAAGGACTGTTGGTACAACATGGGCAACATCACCACCAACATTTAAGTGTCAAGTTTCTCTGACAAACTTCGAGTACATCTTCATGTCCTGGCACTGGGCCTCCCAAAACATTTGTGGTCAGGTTATTTTATTGCTGTAGTGTTGTTTGATAAATGGTCTCTAGACTCATGAGACAAGGACGCATTCAGCTCTGAATTCATCTATACCCAAGAGGCTTTAAAACAACTCAGAACTGATATCACTTATATTTTTATTACTAAATAGTTCCAGTAAAGACATAACTCAGGCAATTAAACCTCTGTAATTAAGAGTGCAAAGCAATAAATACAAATGATTTTGCCTTCCTCTGAACTCATTCTGACGAAAATCCTATTAGAAAGGCACTCTTTTACATAACTACCAGTTATGATTCACACTCCCCTGACCACAGCCTTCAGGCTGGGGCAAATTCCATTTAAAAGTGAAATTCTGTAAAAAGACTAATAAATAAGTCAGAAAGAAAATGGCTATTTTGAACTGGCCAAATATGTTGGCGGCAAAACAGAGAGACAATAACCAGAATGAAAACAATTGAAATGCAACTGTTCATTTTTACTAGAGAAGAATAACCTTCAGAATTTCTTGGTGCCTCTTATTTTAGGGGTATATGCACTGGTAATATCTAGAAGCTTGAACTCAAGCCATGCCGCTTTATCTTGATCCAAACACTTCGGCTTGTAGCCTTGTGCTGGGATTCCATCAAATATTAAAAACTGTGGTTTGGCACAGGTTTACACAAAAGATTCAGAAAAACAATGTGGTACATCACAGAGTGGGAAACAATATGTTTAAAGAGAGGAATAAAATCTTCCTGGCCATTACAGAGAAAAAAGTTCCCACCTCAGTTTCTTTAGTGACCTGGCCTGATGACTGCCATAGCTGTGTTCTGTACTGTTCTTTCACCCAGTGGCTGGTGAGGGCCCCAGTTTTGGGGGAGAGGCATTAGTTTTGGGATCACAATAGTTCATGGAGAGGTGAACAGCATATTCCCAGACAAACTGCACTTTTGTTTGCATTCTCCTATAATCCAAAGCCAAACTCCTTCCAACCCAGTGTGCTTGTGTCTAAGGGAATAAATAACCGAATATTTCCAGAACAGGTGGGTAAACATGGCAGAACCATGTTCAAATGCACATAACTATCTTCTGCCCATCTTTATATTCCGTGCACTTGTGTCAGTCAATTCTGGCCTTACCTCTTGTGCACTGTTGCGTGGGGCAGGTCAACAGCCATAGACAGTTCAAAGACAACTGAAACGAACCATCCCTCTACAGTCTGTCTACCAGCCAAGGTTTACACAACATTTACAGATTTGCTTTGACTATAGAGCTTACATAAACCTGTGCTAAACCAGTAATCATATTATTATCACTGTTGTTTTACTAGGAGTGTGGGTCCCACTTTGACTATCTTTAAACTAAGAGCTTTCACTTCTACTTTGAAATTTCAAATTTACCTGCATATCAGGCCTTTTAGCAGGCAGCTTCCCAGCAACAGACTTACGAGACGGATCCGACGAGAGACAACTGATGATGAGCACTATAAAATTGCACTCAAGCAACCTCTAAATGTCACATTTTTATTACAAACTACAAGCAAATATGACAGCCAAGCTATAATGGTACAGGCAACACTTCTTACAGACTGTTTAAATCATGTTTTCTGCAGTTCAAATCTGTCCTCACTCAGTTAATTGCTGTACGCTTCCTTTCAATCCTGCCCACATATGTACACAGAAATGATTTTGTGCTGGTCTCTACCTTTACACAGAGCCTCCTGGATGTTTGCACTCCATCTCCCAAATGGAATACACCTTAGCTCTTCTCTAGCTCCAGACAAGATGAATCCTTGGGGACAGCTCAGCTGGCACACAGTCCCAGAAACAGCAGGCTCCAGACCACATCTGGGAGGAAGAATTGTTACACCTGCTGGTTTATGGAGGATGGGGCAACGCATTTCTACAAGAGACCAGTAGGACATGTCTTTTAACTGACATACACAAAATATACATTCAAACAACTTTGCAAATAAAGTCATATGGCAATGAGGGTGAACACAAAATACATAGACTTTTTAAGAATCTGCATGCGTTATGATGTATCAAAACAGTAAGACCTGCTGAAGCTTTGTATTCCAGTGCTAACTGAAGTAAACAGCACCCAGGATGTAAGGTCTTCTATTTTCTTGCTCATGCTTTTAACTGTGTCAGAAACATGGTATTTTTCATACAGCTCAACTGTATCTTCTGCTCTCTCTGTTTTTTGGTTTTTTTTTGTTTTTTTTTGTTTTTTTTTTTCCTTTACAACTTCCTCTTTCAGGGTTGCTTTGTAGCTGCATTCCCTTGCCTTCTATAGAAACAAGACCTTTATAGCAGACAAGAGGTAACAGTCTTGTACCTGTTGCCTTCTACAGCTTTTACATCATCCCTTGAAATAATGACAGAAGAAAAAGGACACCCTAGCATGAGCTCACTGTAGGTTAGGGACATGGCACGTGATTTTACCTTCTGTATTCCAAACTGAATGAAATTGAGCTTGATCTTGACTGTGTTCAAACCCAGATGCAAAGACTCAGGGTGATCATAAATGGCAGCTGACCTTCTCTGTAAAGTCAGGAAGGGCTGACGGTGGCTTAAAGGCTTGAAGTTGGTTGAAGTTTTGAACTATTGCATTACTAGAACTCACTACACTTTCTGAAGATCATTTGCACCGAAGTGTAAACTTCCCAAAACTACAATGTGTGTAAACAGGTTCAATTGTCACAAAAGCTTTGTTTTGTTTTTGAGCTGCTGTTATTACCATGTGAGGCAAGAAATGTTATTTTTACTTCAAACACAGAGGCATCAACAAACAGGGCAAAAAGGGGGTATCCTATGAATGCAGTTCATATGCTTTTAGTAGTGTTTCTCACAACAGAAAACAGATAAACACACAAGAAAAATATTTCATTATTTATAGCAAATGAGAAGACTTGTAACTCTTTAGCTAGTCATGAGGAAAGCAGACATGTCTTTATGCAAAGGGCACACAAAGAACAACCCAACCCAGCTGCAGAAGGGAAAGTTTTGTTCATGTCTTAGTAATGGCTTAATGACACAGAAGTGATTCACTTTCAGAACGCTTCATATCCCTTTCCTCTCCTCTCCCAAAACATGTAGCCATTAACTGAAAACTGGCTCTTCAGCTTGAAACAAAATTTGAAGGGTCTAAGCATTCTAAGTATTTCCTGCCCTTTAAACTCTCAAAACTGAAATAATGTTTAAAGTGCAAGCAATTAAAACTGCACTGCATTTCAACAGGATGCAAACATCACAAATGTTAACATGTTTTTTCACTTTGGGCAGATGCTGTCAACTCTGCAATGCAAAACAACTCCATCAGAAAAAAACCTTAAACCCTAACTTTTGGTTGCTCACCACAGGAAGGTAACTGATAAATAGCAGAAAGATCAGAAACTGGAAAAAACAATGTTTGAAAAGACAAGATAAAAGCATTAAAATGTATGCTACTCAGAGAACAAGGAGAAGAAAGGCTGTGAAAGGTGTAAGCATGAAAACCAGAGAAAACTGCAGCTTTTGGAGAAGCAGTAACAGCCCTCCTGGTTGAGATGCTTCTAACTATACTAGCAAAATCCTAGTTGTGCACAATTCTGAAATATCTGGCAAATATTCAGGATAACCTCTGGTATATCTAGCCTGAGGGAATCTCTTCTAAGTGGGACAGGTTTTTACCAGAAAACAACCTGTAATAGTGTAGTTTGACTTTTTGATCTGTGCTCAATTCCAGAATTTGATCAAGCTGAGCCACGAAGTCTGGATTTCATGAGGAGCAGAGTGATGTCCATGATATTAATCTTACGGATAGGGAACTAATAGAGGGAGAAGAAAAAAGTACTTCTGAGGAGAGACAAGAATCTGCTTTCATCTGCAACTGCCTGTGATGAACGATGACATTGTATTATGATTCTTAACATCAACAGGAACTTCAGTATTGTAACAACAGGAAAGATTCATAGATTCATAGATTCATAGATTTCTATGTTGGAAAGGACCTTAGAGATCATCCAGTCCAACCGTCCCTAATCCCCATTAAACCATATCCTTAAGTAGTTCATCCACCCTATTCTTAAACACATCCAGGGATGGGGACTCAACCACCTCCCTGGGCAGCCTATTCCAGTGGCTGACAACCCTTTCAGAGCCGAAATTCTTTCTAACATCCAACCTGAATCTCCCCTGACTAAGCTTATATCCATTTCCTCTTGTCCTATCACCCATCACTAATGTAAAGAGCCCTTCCCTCACTTCCCCACCATCCCTTCTCAAGTATTTGTAGGCCGTAATCAGGTCTCCCCTCAGCCTCCTCTTCTCCAGGCTAAACAGCCCTAACTCCCTTAGCCGCTCCCCATAAGTTTTATTTTCCAGCCCCTTGACCAGTTTAGTCGCCCCTGTTTGGACTCACTCCAGGAGCTCAATATCTCTCTTAAAGCGAAGAGCCCAAAACTGGACACAATATTGCAGGTGCAGCCTCACCAGTGCCGAGTACAGGGGCAAGATCACTTCCCTATTCCTGC